TGAGTTCTGGATGGTAGGGTGGTAGGCGCAATACACTGTGTCCGTGATCTTGGAGGATTTTTTCAAGTACAAATTGTACATAGTTTGGCTTATTTTTTTAATAATATCATACAGCATAGGTTTTGTGTTTCTTTCGGGATATGATATATTATATTTGTCCAACCAAGCTAATATGTCACTTTTTCTTTAATTTTGATGCAGGCACTGGATCCGATACGACGATGCATTATCGACTACTAAAACTGACTGTGGTGGTAAATTTGGAAGAAGTTTTTCTTTAATCCATTTCTGATAATTACCAGCATTCATATTACTGTGATAATCTCCCTTTTGCTTTTTTGCTGGATAGATAAGCAAAGCTTCTGGAATAAATCCTTCTTCCGAGCAGGCATGAACTATCACTAGCATGTCGCCCTTGGAAATAGGTACTTTACAACCTTCGCTCGTTTCGTCGGACCATGATCGTGGCAACGTATGCAAGCTGTGTATGTAAGATTCATCCGTATATAAAATAGGTCGGCCTTGTAATCGATTGTAAATTTGTAAATTTCGAAACTACAAGAATATCTTGTAGTTTCGAAAGATATAATGTTCTTTTGAGAATAATGTACCTTTTTTTTAATAAGTATTTTTTTATTATTATTTTGTGTCTTATTCCATCTGAAACCTAGCCTCCGAACGACCTTTCTTAATGAAGAAATGCCTCCCTCAAAGTTGATACTTTCTTTTAACACTTCTAATAACTTTTTTAATGTCGGAAATGTATGCTGAACCAAATGAAAGTTGTAGATAGTTAGCCTTATGACTTCTTGGTCAAAACTATCTACTGAAGATTTTTTTGCTAACCTTGGTCGCTTTTTACCCGGTGTTCTAAAAGTAACTTGAGGTACCAATGTTTTGGATGCTGGTGGCTCTCCTTCTCCTGAGGTAGACTGTTGTGATGTTGACGCTTTAACAGACGCTATAACTTGATTGCGTACTTCACAAACAACTCGTTGAACACTTCTCTGAGAAACACCAGTCGCATCTGATGTCAAACCGTACAAATCTTTCATTAAACGATCTCCACCATCACTTTTATATTATTTTTTTTATGATAATGCACGAAATAGTTAAAAACGTTGTACACTATTTCACGAGATTGTCCTGTTAAAGATTTTCCGGAACCAATTCATTCAGAAAACTATTTATTCTAAACTCCAAATATGTGAATAATTAAACGCGCTGCGTGTCGATCACACGTGACTGACGCTAACGGTTGAATACCAAAAAGACCACGCTGTATTTATAAACAGTCCTACGCTCTTCTTCTAACAACAAAATCTGTACTCCAGTTCACTTCACCGAGTTCTATGGTAACTCCTTCACAGTTCAGGCTACACGCCTTTGGAACTCCTTGCCCGATGACATCAGAAAAGCTCCCAATAAGTACGCTTTTAAAAAGTTGGTCCGTGATCATTTCTTAAAGACAATGCATTTTACATGACTCATCAATTTAATATGTATTGCCAAACAGAAGTATATATTCATAGTCATTAATTGTATATACTAATTATGTATGTATTTAAATATATATATATATATATATATATATATATATATATATATATATATACTTGTATGTATATCCCTTTATTTATATATTTGTATATATGTAAGGATAGATCATATATGTATAGTTTATTTATTAGTAGTTTGTATATATTATGTAGTTAATTATCATTTGTATAGTGTTCTCTTATTGCCACACCTACATCAAATTCTCACCACTCCATGGGTTGACTGGTAGAGAATGCCTCAAGGCATTAAGTCCGCCCTTTGTATTCTTTTGTTTAAGGATGCAATAAAGAATAAAATAAATAAATAAAATAGTATCAAAAGCAAAACAATCACTGTCCCCTTCAGACTCATAAGCTCGATCGCGCGAGAGAGAGACGGGCAGACTTTTCATGATGCGCATGCGGTGCGACGTCACGCCAAGGGCTTATTCACAGACACTACACAAGCGCAACGTGTAAATGTGTTGTACGTGCCAGCTTTGTTTAACTGATCTATACGGGCCAACACTTAGGCCAAGGAAAATTAAACTGAAAAAATGCCTTGACATAAAAAACAATAGCATAAATAGGCTTCACAAGTTTGCAAGAAGTACTTTGCCCTAACACATAACTATTACTCACCAAAAGCCTATGTACGTAAAACTTTTGAAACATGTTTGCCTGCACCACGAACTGATGACTAAGTGGTACACTACCATCGATCGCCGACCAGGGTTTACTCAAGAAGCGCTGACAGCATTAAAATTGAGAGCGGAGAGTAACCCTGATAAAAAAAATGATTGTTCCTTGGTCATGGATGAAATGGAAATTAAGCAATTAACTGAATACCATGCTAGCAGCTAAAGGTATTATGTATATAACCAATATGTCTTTTAGAACTGGCATAGTACTAAGTCAATTGGTTTATTTTCATTTCATCCATCACTAATATACAATACAATTTCTTGTCAGGGTTACTCTCTAGTCTAAGTTTTAAAACAGTTAACGCTTTTTTTTGTGTAGCCAAGTTGGCCATTAATAAAACTATACTATACTACTTTGTTATTACTACTTTGTTATAGTACGTGATGAAGGCATACAAATTTCAAAACTTTTGATATTTTGCACACATCGTTAAGCTTTCGGTGAATAGTAATGTAAAGTTAAAGCAAAACATCTTTCTGGGGAATACCTAACCCTAGGTAGATGTCCCGTTTTATTTTTAAGCAGCTGTTTGTTTAAAGTTCACTTTGTTCAACTATTATATAGTGGAAAACCTTTTATTTTCCTAATTTATTAAATATTTTCTTATTTTCTGGCCATCGTTTACATTCACGTTTTTTGGCATCACCTATTGCGCAACATCCACCGACAAAGGAAATTAAGTGTTCGATCAAGAACTCATGGATTGCGATATGTCAAGCCCCCTAGAATACGTGACACTGCTGAAGCTGGAAAGCTTAGGAGGATAAACTTAGGAATGAGGATATCGGCCATAGAATCAGAGTGACCGACATCGTCCAACGAAAACCGATGGGAAAAAAGGTTCTCGAGTGGCAGCCTCGTACCGGCAGGTGAATTGTCGGAAGTTCCCCCACTAGATGGAGTGAAAACCTAGTAAGACATACAGGAAGTTGATGGATGCTGGTGGCTCAGGACCGTGCTTTGTGGCATTCCTTGGGGGAGACCTATGTTCAGCAATGGATTTGCGAAGAGCTTTAATGATGATGAATGATAATGGCATTATATTAATATGATACATAAATAGAATGGACGTTAGGGGTAGATTCCATCTATCCATAGAGACTAATTTATTTATTTAGGTGTAGGTATGGTATAGATTTTATCAATATATTTTGTCACACTGTTTTATCCCTATTATTGGTTCCATGGATGTGCACTTCTGCTGTCAGCGCCAAAATGACGCAAATCAAATTGCCTCATCATGTCACGGTGTTTCGCCAGTCCAGCGTACTTGTATATATAGAGGTCAGCGGCCGCGACTAAAAGACATCTTTTAATAAAAGATGTGGAGTTTTATGCGCATTTGAGCATTTATAGTGGAAATTATTATTTTTTAGTTGGAATTTGATTATTAATTAAAAATTTCACGCATAGAAACTGTCAACTTCTTAATCTGTCGCCAAAATCTTCGAGAAACTTTGCAATGTGATGAAATTTAACTAATAGTGGAATATTTTTTTCGCAAATAAAAATTATTTATCATTACATTATCGTTACAGACCTTCACATGTCCACTGCTGAGCATAGGCCTCCCCAAGGAATGTCACGAAGCAGGGTCTTGACTCCTGAGCCACCTACATCTACCGACTTCCTTCACATCTTGCCAGTTCGTCACTCCTATCTAATGAGGGATTGCTCCACGGGATCTTGAGCTTTCATTCAAGTCACACAGTTCGCCGTGCAGTGAAAAAACTATCCATGATCTATAGGATCCATGGCATTATTTGTTATTATGGAGAATTGTTTCCAATAAAGGGCAAAAGTACAATTGCACAAGTTCACAGCCAAAAAAAAACTAGTAAGACAAGCATGGAGGTTAGAGAACAGGAGAACGATCGCTACGTGCTAAAGCATAGCCCACCTGTCCCTGAAAATTTTTGGATTTTTAGCCGCGCTGCCGTTGGTAAGTAGTGTCTGCGAAGTAATTTTTTAATATTTGACAAAAGATAGTGAAATATTATTAAAAAAAAATCAATAATAGTTAATAATTTATATTTGTCATAATTTACAATACTTATAATAATTAAAATTATTGAGACAACTAAGCGATCGCAGCACTTCACATATTTTGTTCATATTTCTGGGACACTATTCTACAGCGATCGTACTCCTGTCCTCTAACCTCCATGAAGACAAGTTAGCTTGACAGTTGACGGGAGTTTTGGCGGGAACTTGGCTGACGACGGACTGTCGCTCCTGTTTTGTCGCTTGAATAATGGTTTGAAGTGAATTTTAGTGCGTAAAAGCGATGTGATTTTGTGAATTAAGTGTCTGTGCGTTTGAAATATTAGATAAAACGACGAAACAAGTGCTTTGATGTTGATATAAACCTCAAGTTAATTTAATCGCTTGGGCGCCTTATGAACTTGAGTGGCTGTCGTCATCAACAGTCCGCTGAGTTGAACTGTCTTCAAAATCTCCCAAAAACTTCGCAATGTGTCGCATCAGCATATTATGAAGAAAAAATATTATATAAAATGAAGATTCTGAGAGAAATGATAGGCACAGAAAGGCTAGTACCCAGAGCCGAAAGCCAGTTATATAATAATTTTAGAAATTGACAGTTGACATTTGTTTACCAAATCGATACGCAATAGTAGCTCTCCATCTTCCAAACAAAGTGAAATTGTTGGGTATTTTGTATATGTTATAATTGGTTTTAGTCTTCTACATACCGAGACCGAAGAAACACAAAGGATAAAATTTTTAGTTGTAACAATGACAAACATATTTAATGTTTGTCTTTTTTCTTTGCTATGTTTTTCCTATTCATGTAAGTACTAATGGTTATTATTTTTTATGGATTCTTAGGGATTATGAAAGCTTAAGCCATTAAACGTTTCCGTCTTGTAGCGCGTTTTTAGTTTGTACTTTATTCACTCCGATATATGGGCAGTTTAATCTTTGTGTACCTTGATTTGTTCTAAATGATGCTAATTATGAGTCAGTAAATATCTTAAAAGCGGTAAACATGTTTAGTTGTTTATTTGTCGACCATGCTGCATAATCATTGAATCATCATTATTTAAAGCATTAGAGATATCCGTAAAGTATAATAAGTAGACATTTGATTATTATTATTTATAATTCAATATTAGAAATTAATCTTGTTGATATTGTATTCGATTTATTGATAAATTAATTTCGGCTAGTTATGAACAAACATCTTTTTTTAATTATAATAAATATTAGAATTAATACAATCAACTTAAAGTACAACACTGATTTGTCTTTAAGAACTGTGTTGAACCTTACATTAACTTGATATAATATTAATATTTTGATTATTTATTGTTTGATTATAATGTTCATTATTAAAATGAATTGTAATAATTATGCTCTTGATATATAAGCACTTGTTTAACCAGGTGATAGTACTTTTTTCTGCTTAGGGGGCTGTCTGGGTGCATAGGAAACTAGCTGTTCCCCGTGACTTCACCTGCATGGAATTTATTATGAGTGGATTACATGGGTTTTAATTCTTTTGCATGGATCCCTAACCCCTCGGATGTCCAAACGCCATATTCTGGTGTCTCAAATAATATGCGCATCTGTCAAACGCCATAATATGGCGTCGAGTGATAGCAAACTATTTATAACATATATATATAACATACATATATATCTGTTATGCATAATCTGATAGCTTATTTAATAACATTTCCATTGATATATGATTTTAATATACTTACTTAGTACTTCGGAAAGTGCTCGACAGATGCACCATATTGGCCAAAATGACCCGGACATTCGAGTGGCTAATTTATATTTCTAAAATAAAAGTAGTCTAAGTTACTACTTATAATATCAGCAGTGAAATTACCATCAAAATCTGTCCAGCTGTTTTGGAGATTAGCCAGCACAAACAGTTTTTTTTAAATTGTTTTTTCGTTATAAGTACTGTATGTACTTTTATATGCATTTAGTAAAACCTGTTACTTTGACATTACAAACAGAGAATTAAATATTATTTATTTGTATAGATAATGTTATGACTGTATCATGTGAATAATTTGAGAAAGAAAGGAATGTATGTTGTTTTAATGCAACGTTGTGGTGTTCGCGGCACTGGTGATCGAATAATAAGCGCTCCGTATAAAATAAATGATTAAAATCTGTTATATAGATATTTTAATCACTAGAAGTTAAATATAAAGTTTTCCTATACTGATCATCAAGTAAAAGTGTTTTAATGTGTTTTAATTTCAATCATATACATTACATCCAGCATAAAAGTCAATGAAAATATGTTAAACTCACAAAAGTAGAATGATTGTTTTTTAAACAATGTATAAAAAAATTAAGCCTAAATTGTGTTTAAATTGATTATTAAAACAAGAAAAAGTGACAGAAAATAAGTGAAAACAAACTTTTATTGCAAGAAATCGGTTAACGTTTCGAATAGCTAAAACTTTCCATGGTCGATAAACACTGTGCAAACCAACCGATCAACTGAGAGTAAATCACAAATACAAGTTATAGTAATGACATTTTTTAACCGCAACAAGCACTAATAAGTTGGTCAAAAGGTCTAATGCGCTAGTAAAACTTCAATATGTTGTAAGATCAAATCCAATGGAATTACCACAGAAAGATTTTTCTTAGTTTAAATAAATTTTGTTTTAAATAACAAAATGACAAAAAATCTATGTTACAATTTAAAAAATAAACATAAGCAAATGAAATGATACAAGTGTTGGAATTTTACCTGACATAACATATAACTTTCATATACGCTATCTAGTTACATCTATGTTCAATAAAAAAAAATCAAGTATACTTTGCGATTACAATATAAATTAACACAATTACAATTACAATTAAAATATATAATTTAACTTTAATAAAATACAAAATGTCTCTTGAAAATATTACTATAAGAAAACATACAAAAAAAACCGGCTCTTTCAATGAATCACAAGATTCATTTGACTCAATCATGTCAAATTTAAGGTCATCAAGTTTACCTGATTTAACTGCAAATAAAAACGAGATAGATGAATTAAAAGAGCAAATACTACATTTATAAAATCAACTAAAGAGCGCAGATAAATAATAAAACTGCTGGAAAAAAATAGTTTTCTGTCTAAAACTGTTAAGCACCAAGAAAATACAATAAATCGTTTAAAAAACATTTACATTGGATCACCCAACACATCTAACATGAATAATACACCCAAAAAAAAGAGACATAGACGATCGTCAACGTCAGACCATATGGCAAACTCTAGTTCTAAAGACATAGGACTGCAAAGTGAACCAAATCTCACGTCAAATATGCAAAAGCACACTTCAAAAGAAACGGCAACATCGGTTGTAAATAATCCTTCAGAGTGCGAAAAAACAAAGAAAACTATAGTACAGGAAAGAAAAATAAACAATGTTCAGGGACTCAATAAATTATGTTTTGTCAGTAATGATAAAAAAGGTAAAATCTCACAGTTATTAGAAGCGACTGGATTAATATATATATTTCCTGGGGGGGGGGGGGAATAAAGCAGATGATATGTGGACTAAACTTGAAATTTGAGGGTTTCAAAAAAAAAGACTTCTGCATCATTATGATAGGGGAATCAGATTTCAAAACATCTCAACAATATTCCTCTTTGGTATTCGAATTTAGTGAAAAACTAAAAGATTTAAAACATACAAATATTATTATCGCCTTACCTACCTACATATGTGGAGCAAATATATATAACTGTCGAGTTGAATTCAACTCGTTATTGAGTATGGATGCATGGAGAAATGAATACGCGCAAATATTTAACTCAAATAACAATTTGACATATGAAATGTTCTCACCAACAACAGGGAAATTAAAGAAAAATGCAATGAGGAATATTATGGACACTCTGAAGTGCGAAATTCAAAAAATTACAACAAAAATTATACGTAGTACCCCTGGAACACAGTAGGAGGTTTTAGCAGCAGAAAGTCCGTCAAATAATACACATTCACATGATATACATGTAACGGAGAATACTAACCCAACACAAGATTTTTTCGTGTATAATAAATTATATATTTTACATCAAAACATAAATGGATTTTTGAATAAATGTGACATCTTAATAGAACGTTTAAATGACCCTCCAACAATGGAAAAAATGTTAGTATTTTATGCTTCACCGAACATAATATGTTACAGAGCGATGTAAACATACTAAATATACCTAACTATAAACTAGCTACATACTTTGCTCGTAATAATCGAAACGGAGGTTCAAACATATTGGTGTACAACGGCATAAATTTTACGGAAATAGAATTAATAAAACAATGCAATATCCCTAACGTTTTTGAAGGCTGTGCCATAGAGCTGATAGACCACAAAGTAATTATATTATGCATATATAGACCCCCAAATCCAAATAAAATAAATACTTTCTTTGAAAACCTAACAAAAATATTACATCTCATCAGCTATAATAATAAACAAAAAATAATTTGTGGTAATTTTAATATAGATATGCTTAAGAAAACTAAAGATTCCATTCAATTTGAACGTATTGCAAAAGAATTTAACTTTAAAATAGAAATAAATGAACCGACACAACCTAGTAGTGGTACCTGTTTGGATAATATATTGCATAATATAAGAGGATGTAATAGTGAAATAATAGAGCTGGGTGTTTCCGATCATAAAGCACAGTTGATGAGATGGCCAGTAAAGAAAACGTGTATTATTAAATATTGGCATACATATAAACGTGATTACAACAAAGAGAATATAACACTTTTTAAGAAATGCATTGGCAGTCTAAGTTTCTCAGAAGCATATGAAACTGATGATCCAAATACAGCCTACAACAGCTTCTTTGACTTATTTATACTATTCTATTACTTATGCTTTCCTACTATCAAATGTAAAGTAAACCCAATTAAGAAAACACAATGGATTACGCGGGGGAATAAAACTATGCAGCAAAAAGAGATGAGAACTACTGTGGGAATATAGACTGAGACCTAGTAAAGACACAAAACAAAAATTTAAAACTACACAAAGAGATATAAAAAAATTGTCAAACTGACACAAAAAGCTCAAAACAGTAATTTCATTGAAACAAGTCATAATAAAAATAAAAGCTGCGTGGAAAGTAATAAATGCAGTGAAGCCAAACATACCTAAACAAAATATTGAGGGAATAAAGATCCAAGGACAGTACGTAACAAATCCTAAATTGATAGCGGATTATTTTAATAATTATTCAAATCAAATACAGACTAATAATGAAAAAGGGACTAACAAAAAAAAAACACTTACAGTCACAAATCGGCCAAATCAATATTCATGGAACCAACAACAACCCAAGAAATTATAACAATCATTAAAAACCTTAAAAATACAACCACCACAGGATATGATAACATACACACTAAAATAATTAAGGAAGTAGCACCTTTAATAGCTCCTATACTATGTAATAATATAAACAAATGCATCCAAAGTGGAATATTCCCAGAAAACCTAAAAATTGCAATCATTAAGCCTTTATATAAAAAAAGAAGATACTCGTAGAACAAATGTTAGTAATTATAGACCGGTGGCGTTACTATCGACTTTCTCTAAAATATTCGAAAAAATTATTTATATTAGACTATACAATTATTTGAAAAAGAATAATATTCTATGCCAAGAACAAATGGGCTTCAGAAAAAACAAAAACCAATATGAATAGTAAGAAACCAGCTGTGGCAATGTATATGGATATGACTAAGGCCTTCGATTATGTAGATCATAATCTACTACTAGACAAATTATACATCTAT